TAGAAGCCTGGTATTCCCAGGTTCTATCCACTCCAATAAGACTTCCCTACTAAGCCTTGACCTTCCACTGACCCATTTGCAAGACTGCTGCCATCACACCAGACCTGTAGCTCTACATTACAGAGAGTGCAATCTGGTGGAGTTGTAGGTGAGGGTAGGAGATGGGGCATGTACTGGAGACCTCAAGGTTATAAACAACTGACCCAATGGTCAGATAAAGAAATGCAGAACTGCAGCTGGCAAAACTGAAGGGTAACAGAGAGGTCAAAAACAAGAATCAAACCACATATAGGAGATTGGGATGTAATGTGGAAAGACAAATCAAGAGAGAGGAAGGTGTTAAACGTGCATTAGCAAACATAAAAATGAAACAAAGTGGTTCCTAAAGTGAGCAAGAATCCCCATCAACGTTGTACTGCTCCTGAGAAAGGATTTGGGATGTGCTACACTCCGGTTCATTTTATACTAAATAACTACTTGTTACTGTTAGATATAAATACAAAAATCATGCAGAGATGTACCATATAAAGATATGAAAATAAGACAAATTAGCCATAGCCTGATTTCTAAGGTTTAAGGACAAAGTCTGTTTGATGAGCCTCAGTCTTGAGTCCTCACAAACTCAATACAAAACCCGTAGCTTGTTAGTAGAAGTGATGATACTGTATTTAGTGGGCTATAGCTCTACAGGTTCCTTGTTATATACATTCAAAGTCATGGAAAGCTAATCTTAGACAGGTTTTAACTGAAGCATTTCCATGTACCTGGGGGTGCCCCAGCAATTTTGGGTCCAGAGGTTAAGCAGTAACCAACTTCTGAGTTTTGGGCAGGACCAGCATGGCTTCCATGCATAGGCTGTGCCATATGATCTGTAGCAAATTGTGCCTGCACTGTGCATCCCGGACAATCTTAATCCTTGCAAGTAAACCAGAAGCACCCCAAAGTGACCCCCAGAGCAATCACAGCATGATCCACAGAAGAGATGAACAGCCTGGAGAACTGTTATCCTCCACCTCTGAACTCCTCTGCCAGTCATCTCTTCTTTCAGATTCTGTGATCTGTCATTGTGGGGGCTGTCCTGTGGCTCTTGGCCCATATGAGGATTTGTTACATGCACCATCAGCTCAGAGAAGTTGTTGTGCTGCTGAATGCTGCCTTGGTTTGTCCTGCACTATGTAACACAGGAAGTTTTCTCCTTACAACATCTCTGGGTTGAACTCTTGGCAACAGAGAACATCTTTTCTGATACTTGGACTCAATACAGCAAAAGCTTTAAAATATTGATAAAGTTAATTATTATTAATAGATAAGTTCTGTGGTTTAATGAGGGCTTTTAACTTACAGTTTAAGAAAACAGCAAGGAGGGAAAAAACAAAAAATCTCACTTTAAAACTATGTTAAATAGTTTGTTAAATGTTAAAATAGACCACAAATCAAACTTTTTCAGTAGCTGTGCTGATTAACCTTCTGACTTTAAGACTCTAAGCCAAACAGGGTTTTACCATTTGGGTCAAGCTTTAAATTTACAGGTCTAAATTAAAAGCTAAACAGGCATCTTTCTCCATTATCCATCCAAGGAACTAAGAGTATAAAGGCTTATTAGTCAGGATTAGTCAAGAATTGACATTGGGGGTTTTATTATTCTAATTAGGCACAGGAAAATTCGTATTTCACTTTGTAATTAAAACAATACACATTCTACCACCTAATTATATTTGACATTTTCAAGGTGTTGGGCGCTGAAGTCTATAATTACAGAAATGCTGCTGCCTTAAGCAGAACACTCCATAAATATTCATATATTAAATAGCCAGTTATACTGTTTAGAAGACTTAAGAAACATTTGCCTTTTCCTTTTTAGAAATGTTAGACTTTTAGAAGTTTTATTTTTATATTTTATATTTGTATTTTAACATTTTATATTTGTATTTTTAAAAAGATGGGAAGAGAAATGTCATTTGGGATCTGACATCTGTATACAGCAAATTGACTACAGACCTACTCATTAGTACTGTAAGCAGTTATGCCAGAGATTCATAATCCTTTAGAATTATATCTTTTCTTTAGCAGAATAGATAATTACCATCAGAAATAATATGGGAGTCCTGTACTGAAGTCATAAGACACTAAAATGCAATTCCTAAAATTCCTTGATTTTTTTAACTAATAAAAGAGTTACAGTTTACATACAGGAGTTTAAAGAAAAAGCTATTCCCTGCTTTTATTTTACTGTTCCACAATAATACCACTTCAACTATTGCCTATTTTTGATAGTTGAATACTGCCATTTAAAACAGTTGCCTGCCTAAAAATGTTGTGATCCAAGTAGAGTTTGCCTTGTGGTTAATGCACAAGCTATTGTTCAAGGAAAGACTTTCCCTTCCTGGTATTGGAGAAATGGAAAAATACTGAAGATTAAACTCTGAATGCAAGGTGTTCCATGAGTGGTCCTGCTCTGTGTTTCCTTTCTGGGAAATTAACCTTTGGGCACATCCTGATAAAACGGCATAATTTCTCAAAAGAAGAGACAATAGGCATCTGCTTATTTTGTCTGTTTAGCCCACTGGAATAAGTTTGTGTCCTGTTGTAAGGTGCTTTGCCCAATGGGACATGGGCCCTGACTAAGTCATTCATTGCAAATGTTTTAAGAGTTAAATGTAGTGCAGAAGGGAAGTTGAGATTTCAAATGCTGTACAAAATTTCAGTGTCTTAGCAAGAGCAGCACAGAGTCAGTGCAAGCTCTCTGCACACCAGGACAGGGTCCACTGTGGCAGCCTTTGGGTCCAGAGGCCCCTAACCCCAACCAGCAGGGTCTCTGTGCAGGAAGATGTTGAGAGAAGGGCACCCAGTTGCATACTCTAAATTTTAATCTAAATTATTAATCTCAAGTATTCCCAGCGTATGGAGAGTTCAGGGAAGTCCTATTTCATCCTGCACATCTATAACGACTGGAAGCAGTCTAGCCTATGTTGACTAATCATGCATGCTTGCATTATGGTCAGTCAGGCTGCATCCAGCATGAAGTGAGGATTATATATTTTTATATATATATATATATATAAAATATGTATTATATAATGCATCTTGCTAAAGAACTGGACTTCTTCCTGTGATGGGCAAGAAGCAGGACTTAATTTAGTGACATTGTATGTAATTATTCCATACATATTTCTGTCAGATTATATAATTGTTATCTATTGTGTATTCACATAATATATATTACATACTGTGTATGTTATCTGTTGTACATAATATGAATGGATGATATAATATGTAAGTGCAAATATGGATGTGTTTGGGTTATACATATATTTAATATACATATGCACACTATTTACTGAAGCAAACTTCCTAAATGCCTGATCTTATTTCTGTAATGCTCACAGCACTTAAGGATGCCAATCCACATTTTCTCCCTTTGTACACAATCATAGCCCCTATACTATGTGACCTTACAATGCAATCAACTTGAACACAGGTATAACCAGACAAGCAACATTCTTCTATTCACCACCCTCTTCATATTTTGCTTGGAACACTTTGAAAACTCACCGTTTTCAAATCAGCACATCAAAGACAAGCTGTTCTTTTTAAACAAAAAGTCATATTAAAAGAAGTTTTGATTAAATTTAGCTAGAACCCTCCTTCTTTAATCATCCAGAGTTCCATTTTATACACAAAAACCTGAAACCTGAGTTTTATAAGCTCAATACTTAAAAATCAGAAAATTGCCTGTTAACTCAAGAAACCATTGTTCATCTGCCATGTAGAGTAGATTTTATTCATCATTTTCCCAAAATACATATGGATCCCATTTTATATTGCATTGTAGAATGGGATGAATTACATTGATTTTAAATAATCAGATGTTTTTGTAAATGTGAACTGAGCATTGCAAGAATGATATAATTTAAGTATGCCCATAATTCTTTTAGGACAGTCGCTGTTTCTCCTGCTCTCAGTTGCTGTTACCCACAGGTACCCTCACTGCAGGACAGACAGCAGGAAGGACTCTGCATCTCAGTGGAGGAGCAGCAAGCTGTTCTAATATTGCCTTGTTCCTGGAGGACTCTGGAAAAGATCAAACAGTTGTTTGTTTCTGAGTGTTTACTAAGGAGGATGCAGAGAGTATCACATCCTGCTGGTCACCTCTGAATGCCCCAATGCCCATCTTGGGAGTGGGGCTGCTCTTATTGTTCACTGATAAACCAATTGCATTAAATGCCCTTTTGCTATAGCTTCTTTTAAATTACTTCCTTCCACAGAGATTTAGTGTTTGATCCTGTGCTTTAAGGAGCTTGTGGTGAGCAGAGGTGAATTTGGGCTCCCAGAAAGGCCAACTCTGCTCTTAATAGATTAGTGGAAGTAATTGCAAATGGTTAGATAACTAAATAGCTAGAGGATAAAAGAATTGTGAACCATGGTCATGAAAGTTCTAAACAGACTGAGTCTTGCCAAAGTTAATTGCTTTTTTGATAGAATTGCAAAATGGATGTGCATTATCACATATATAGATTCCAGGGAAGAACTGGATACTGGTTTTCATTTGCAATTACTTTGAAACTTAATGCAAAATTACTTTGATGTAAAGACTGTCATACATGACAGAGAGTTGCTAAAGAACCAAAAAGGGTGATTGAAGAACAGCAGAGTGCTGAGGCCTCACATGGGAGACTGCAGTTCTGATACTTTCCTTAAAAAAAAAATTAAATCAAAGTTTTTCTAATTATGATTCATAGATGAAAAGGCTAAATTATATGTGCTAAAGATTGGGCTGGATGTTTTGACTAGCTTAGTATGCAGCAGGATTATTGATATCAAGTGAACAGTATCGTATCTCTAGAGAATTAATTATTTAGAGATAGTAAAATAGGCATGACAAGGAGCAGTTAGATATAAACAGCAAACATCAAAGAGATTTATTAACACACTATGTTGTCTTTGCAAAAGCATTGCTATTCCATTTCCAAACAGTAATTTGTTGCTTTCTTCTCTTCTAGTTGCCCATATTGGCATCTTCTGTTGTTAGCCTCTATTTTCTTGAACTTACTGATGTCTTCAAGCCAGTTCACTCTGGATTTAATTGCTATGACAAGAGTCTGAGTATGCCATACATTGAACCTACACAAGAGTCTGTTCCCTTCTTGATGTTGCTTAGTCTGGTTTTTGCTGGACCATCAATTACGGTAAGTTTGAAGTGCTACTGTCACTTAATAAAGAATTTGAACAGAATTTCAGTTAGTATAAAAAAAGTAACTCCTTTGATTTCAGTTAGGCTGTAGAGTGTCAACCAGGCTAGTTTCCTTAGGATTTTAAATCCATATTTCATTCTTCTGTAACAAAAGGAGATATACTCCTTAGAACATTCCTTGTAGCATTTCATCTACTCTCACTGTCTTGATGGTGTCTTTCTTCAATGTTAAGAAACAGCATCTACAGTTGGATGAGAATAGCTTGAATCATTCTGTTATGCTGTACAAATATTTGAACTTTTACAGACAGGGCATCTCCATACTCTCAGATACATCAAAAATTAAAGATTTTATTTTTTTTGAAATGCAAGCCTTTCACAGCCTTGCCACTTTTGTTAGAACTAGCTTCATTCAGAGAGACGGGGTATCAATCTTGTCAGTGAACTCAATTACATTTTCCCAAATAGCACTGAAACACCTCTAAATTGCAAGTTAGTCATTAAGAGCAGGCAAAAGTGGGCTGGTTTAATCATTCACCCGAAGGGAGGAGATGATTTCAACAGAACAGAAATATCCTGTCAGAATGAGCAGCTGGGTCACTATTTTACAGAAAAGAAATTGTCATACATGTATACATAGGAGAGAATTATTTTTTTCTGATTTTAAGGAGTTCAGATAGGAGCGCTATGCTCACAACACTCTTTCTCCATTTGCTAGACAAACTTTCCATTTATCTGGCAAGTGGACAGAGAAATTCACCTTGAGTGGGTGATTCTATGCACCTAAAAAACACGATCAACCTTTTGAAATGGTCTTTTCTCCCCCTGACAGCAATGACTACACATCTGTTAGGCACTTCTCGAAAGCCAGCTGCAAATATAACCCTGCTTCCAGCTCCTCTTAATTCCCTTAACTTCAACCAGTTAATTCATTTCATAATACTATCCAATTTACCATTATAAAATCTATAAAATATGATGCCTGTATAAAAATTATCAAGTGCTGTTCTCTCTTTGCTTTCCAGAATATTTTTTCATTTGTCCTTTTTTTTTTAACCATTTAAAAAACTTTTTTTTTTTTTAACAGTTCTTACTGCATTTGGTTTTCGTTGCTTTAGAAACCATTTCTGAAGGATTTTGCACAACCACCAGGCTAAAAATTATACATTTAGAAACTGGGAGCTAAGACTATCAGTGATCCTGGTGCAAATGATTGCTGCAAATACCAAATACCATGATAAAAACAAAATGTTAGTACTGGGGTTTGGCTGGGTTTCCTAAGTGTTTCTGCTGACAAAAAATTTGACTTTTCTGAAACAGCTATCGAAGGAATCTATCTAGGCTCACTTGGGCCACAGTAGGTGGTAAAACCTGGCTTTTACTTCAGAGAGTTTATATTAAGCCTAGATAATATCAAACTCCTTAAATTGGGATAAAAGATGCTTCTGTCATTATATAGCGTTTGTTAAGGGCTTTGATTATAACTCAATTCTTTCAGCATTTCAGGAAATTTTGCAATAGAGAATGTTATTCTGCTTGAATCTTTCTACTAGTAGTACAGAAAATTAATCAGAAGCATGCCATGTGTGGAACTCAAATCCATACTTGAGCATGCTTATAAAAAAGAAAGTTTGATAAAGAAAGTAAATCCCAAAGCTTCAAAGCGCAACTGGCCAAAAGCTGCAAGCCTTAAAAAGTTGTAGTTCATTTGTATTTGTATGAGCATGAATGTGATGCCTGTGTTAGTTAGAGGCTGGGCAGTGACAGTGCAAAATACTCAAACTCCTTCAGTGAAAGCCCCAAAGGCATTGACTCATTATTCAATACCATTTTGGAAGTAAGGAACTAGGGGACATTTTTGTTCAATCCTTCCCTTTTTCATTGGAAAAATAGGCCGGTGAAGCTCAGTGTATAAAGATTGTAATTGTGCCATTGTCATATTGTGGAGTTTAGCATTTTGTAAGTTGGTTTTCATGAACATTTCAATAGATTGCACACTTTATGAAACCTATGAAAGATAGGAAAGAAAGCATGAGCTATGTGAGGAATTGAGGATCTCCAGAAATGTTGAATATCCTGGCCTCTGCCCACACTTCAGGGACTTACTACAGTATGAGGCAGAAGGTCATCAAGACTCAATAAAATACAACTGTGATTAAGCCACATTTCATATATTACCAAAGAGTATATATAAGAAGAAAAAAAAAGAAAAAGTGTGCATGGGGAAGAAGACAAGTAAATTCTAGTATTAATCCCTCTTTTAAACCTTATATAAATACTAGAATAGAATTTTTTTCTGTTATTTTTGTTGGTATAATAATTTTCTCAAGACTTAAGAACATATATCAATCTACTCACTTTAGACTAATATTTTATTAAAAAAAATCTAACATTTTATGACTTATTTTCCTAAGCCATCATTACACAAGGATCTGTTTGGCTTTGAGGCTCTGCATTTTGGTTTTTCTCTTTGGGTTTTTTTTCTCGTTATTACTAAGTAGCAAATGCAATTAAACAGGTCTGTTCTGTAGCCCTGAAGGGTTATAGAAAATACCTACCTGTATTATTGACATATGTCTCATTGCTTGTGTTTTAGATGAAATTTTATGTATTTATTCAAAAACTGCAGGGGACTTCAGTGTGGAACACCTGGACCTGAAGAAATTATCAAGATGGATATTTTAGGTCTGGAACGTGGATATACCTGAATTACAGCATGATTTCAATTTGCTTCAAAGAACTCTGAATCTGATCCTCTGATAGATCTTCTCTCAAGTTGCTCATTCAGAAATGTTAGGACCTGTAATTTAATCATATCAGTGAAGGTTCAAACTCTTATCAGCCACTGAATAAAAACCTGCTTAGAGGTAGCAATGTCCTTTCCAACAGAGATCGTTAGGACATTAGATCACATTGATATGGGAAATCATTCTCAAAGAGAGAAATTCACTGCTGGAAGTTTCACTCCTACTGCCCTCTCTACTCTGAGAGGTTTTTTTTATGTGGAAACACCAGCCTCTGAATTTTCCTTGACATAGGCCTTGTTGTTTTTTGCTCTATCACACAAGCTAATTCATCTATATGGTGTTTTCCCTGTACCAGAAATTCCCTAGAACTTGGCTAAAAACTATTGGAGTTTTTCAGAGTTTTAATTTTGGAATACTGGGTTTTTCTGGGAAGCTTCAGCAATAAACTGATCAAATGTGGACAGATAGTAGTGGCCATAGCTCTCAGCTAATTAGAATTCCTTAAATAATCCTTACCACTGGCTTTTCTATGTCATAGGAGAACCTTCACCACTTCAATCATCCTGGTCAAGAAATTTCAGTTTATTAAAACTTTAGCTAATAAAGAGTTAGACTAAGCTTTTCCACTTTACCTCCCTTTTCCTAGGGTGGAGGTGTTAGTATAGACAACCACCACTGGTAATTACAGCAGATTCAGCATAATTCAGATGCTTTGGCATCTCATTGCATTATATCTTTGTGAATTGCATGGACTCATTTTCCGTGCTGCTGTGGATAGACAAAGTGAATCCTCTTTTGCTGGTGAGAACTGCCTCATTAATTGCAATATTTCAATCCAGCCCTTACTCTGAACTCTGTACAAACCCTGTACAGAATTCCAAATAGTTGCATTATTGAACAAGGAAAATAATAAAATCTGAGACTACAAATGTATAAACGAGTCGGGATTTTCCAGCAAGTGGTGCAATTTTTTAATGATATTCTTCCTTTCATAAACTCTTGTCTAGGGTTTTGGTCATAATCTGTTTTGCTTGGTATGTTGTGAGGGACCATAAGGACAGAACTTTTTCAGCTGCTGTGGATCTGGTTAAAACCCAAGCCAAATTAAACAAATACAGAACAGGCTGTCACATAATTGGAAGCTGCTCGGGATTGCTAGGCTTGTGGCCAAGACTAAATGCTAAAACCACTTCAGGAGCACTAAGATATTGCAGTGGCTCTGGATTATTCTAGAGGTGATATTTTATAATTACTGTTTTATTATTGTAGAAGCATCAAGTTTCAGCTGTAGATCAAGGCCTGGATACCACTGAGCACTGTATACTGTATGCCATTTGCATTTAATTTCAGAACCATCTTCTTGGCTGCCCTCATTCAGGCTAAGTTGCATTTATGTTTACATATTGATATAAATCTTTTAAAGTTGAGTGCATGTCAGTGAATGACATTGGTTGTGTTACAGTTATATTACAGCCCTTTAAATTCAATCAGGATCTTCTGAGTAAGTGCTACATTCAATTTAATGGCTCCTTTGTCATTGCAGATAATGATAGGAGAAGGAATTCTCTACTGTTGCCTGTCCAAAAGAAGAAATGGGATTGGAACAGAGGCCAATATTAATGCAGGAGGATGCAACTTCAATTCTTTTCTTAGAAGAGCTGTCAGATTTGTTGGTGGGTTTTAATTGTTACTCACAAAAAAGAACTTTCCACATATACTCAGTTTTCACCATGCAGGTTTGCTTCTCTGAAACAGCCTTTCAGAACAGTGCAGAACTGTCAGTAGCACAGATTTTCTGCTAGAAAACGTGAGAAGAAACTCAGACTGCTACAAAGCAGGCTCATACTCAGTAATGTTGCATCTATACTCTCCATTTTCCCTTTCCTCTCCTGTACTACTGTCAGTATTTCTAAAAGAGTAATTTGTTTTTCCTTCCCTGCCTACCTCGAGCTGGCTGCTTTTTAATTATTTCAGTGTATAGCTTCCCATGCCTGTCTTCAGTGCATCATAAGGAGTCAACCCACCTGTCACAGTATTCAGCATGACAGTGAAAACTTGTCAGAAACTCTCAGTAGGTTTGACATTCTTTTTCTGGAATGTCTTTATCTGCCTCTCAAAAAGGGCTAGAATCTGGCAACTTAAATGATAGAGGAACATGTTGAATTCTTTCATTTTACTTTGTTTTAATTGTCATTTATGGAAAACTCTACTTTGAAAGGCAGCTGGACTTTGATCCCCTTCTTACTGTTAATTTCCCCTCCCAAGGAGTGGCTAAAGAAAAGGTTTCTTCTTTTCAGAAATTTTTCATTAGACAAGGCAGCCTAGGCAAAGACAACCAGCAAGGCAGCAGATTGAAAACCTGGTAGGACAACCATTCCCTGGGTTTTGGTAGTCTGGCAAACAGGGAGGTAGTGACAAGTGAGCTTATGCAATCTGTGACCAGTAAAGCTTCATAAGAGCAGCAGGGAGGAAGTAAGCAGAGGGTTTGTAGATTACAGCATGAGCAAGAGGACTGTAAACATACCTCCACCTTCACTTCTTCTCCTGTTTGATATTCCATCACCAAAAAAAACAAGCTCAAGAACACATGAATTTCATCCCTAATTCCCACTCTGAATTTGAAGTATTTTCATATTTTAATGGCTTTAACATTCTTTCAATTTTAAGATGAAAAATAAATTTATCTCTATGAATAAAAGTAGGGAATTATAAGTAAATCTTTAGAAGAGCAGTTGAAAACGTTCAGTAAAGCAATGGCATTACTTCAATTGCCTTGTGAATTTGGCATTATTAATCAGTCTGAAGCATTGATCCCTTATGAAATAGACTTAAATATTTGGATTAGTGACAAGGACACAATACTCAAGAAACAACAGAGGTGTGAAGGTAGCCAAAGTTATCACCAGCTGGTGATTCTGTGGTGGCAAAAAGAGAACAGGTCTTCAGAGCAATGATCTAATGGGCAGTTGTCCATACTACTAAAAGTCTGTCTTTCAGTAGGAAACTCCAAGGACTGGATAAGCACATATGCTCTCCTCAAAGTTGGCTACTCTTTAGTCAATTCAGAAAACTTCTTTCCATGCTGAATCAGCTCCAGTTTTGGAGGACATCAAGCTATTAAAACAAAATTTTAAGTATCAACAGGAAGAAAACAAGCATAAACTATCAAAATTTCTTTATTAAAGAATTCAACTTTGCAATAAGCTTTTGTTCTGCATTTAAATTCTCTTATTTGGCATTTAAATTCTCTCAAGTCCAATAACAAAAGCCATCGGAGCTCTGTTGAATGTAGCTTGTATGATTAATCAACCTAATTATTGCATATAATAAAATTAACAAGCTCTGTTGATTTCTTTCCTAGGTGTTCATGTGTTTGGTCTTTGTGCAACTGCTCTTGTTACTGATATTATACAGCTATCAACAGGATATCAGGCACCATATTTCCTGACTGTTTGCAAGCCTAACTATACATCTTTAAATGTATCTTGCTCAGAGAATTCATATGTTGTGGAAGATATTTGCTCAGGAGCTGATCTCAATATCATCAACGCTGGAAGGTTGGTTCTGTTCTTCATTGTGTACATTTTTAAGCATTTATTTTCTTTTTTATTTTCTGTTCCAATTTCAAGATTTTTTTTCATAGTTAAAGTCTGAGTTAAAGGTGAACGCATAAATATCTTTTTAGTGATGTTCAGTTTTCTCCATTAAGATATTAATCTAGCAGTGAGCTTTGGAAAACTTTGTCAGGTTCCAAAGCACAGTCAGGGCAGCTGTTCTGCCCCTTCAAAGGAGGCAATTTCCTATACAGTTGTCACTATGTATAGCTTCTACTGCTTTTTGAAGTGATACGTGGGCAAGTTCCCTGTAACAGACAGGGGAGGAAGTCTCCTAAGTGCTTGGTCTGAGACCTCTGTATAACATACATTACAGTTCAGGTGTTTGGGAGTTGCTGGTCAAGTTTGTTTTCTGTTTCTGTGATTAATTTTTTTATATTAGCAACATTGAAAAGAATCTATTTTTAGAGGAAATACCACAACAGTATAAAGCTGTGTGTTCCCAAACCTGTCTTTTCTTGCATAGTACTTCTGACAGGTTTTTTATCTCTTTCCCCATAACCATTTGCTGTTACTGGGATATTTTCAGTGAAGCCTGATGCTTGCAAGCAGTGTCTTGCAGCTGCATGGTGTCCCAGGAAATCAGGACACGATTACATAGAAGCAGGCAGAAGCACTTTCACAATTACATCTCATTCATTTCATTATCTCAAATATGATGTCTACTGCTTTGAATTGACTGCCTATAATCATTCCAAAACCACCAATCACTCCTAATTTTAAATACCATCACTTCTAAAAGACCAGTGAAATTAGTTGTAACATATTAAGACTAAGCAATCAGGTTTGGGGTGTTTCTGTTTCTCCAGAAAAAGCAGCCATATATTGATATCTCAAAGTTATTCTCATCATAGAGGATGCATTTGGCAATCTGTAATATTCTGGCACCACCCACAATTTCTCTTTAATTCAATTTTATTGCATTTTTCCTTTATTATGTTGTTATTTCCTTATGCCAGTCTCAACTTTAACACAGCAAAGCAGGACTTGCTACTGGTTATTCAGTAGCATTTGTTACTTTCTTCAGTCACCTATACAGAAACTATGGTATAACTTCTACAGTACAGGAGCTTAATTTGACTTCAAAAATTTCAGTTTGGAAGGAACTTTTTCTGTGTTTGTTAATGGCATTCTGGGTACTTCCCAGAAACTTTGGGTCCAGAAATTTGCCTTTGGACTCCTGTATGAAAAGTATAGAGAGGAGCACATAATTATCCAACTGATTACATGAAATAATTTTTCTGCAACATCCCCAAATATCCAGTGGTTCCTATTGTCCATCTTTTCCTCTACTTTCTTGAAAGAGCCTTTTCAGCCACTTTTGTTCAGCTCTCCAGTGAGGTCTCTGTCCTCTGTCATCTCTGATGTTCTAACTCCGTATGACTCTCTCTCTCAGTGGGACTCTCTCATTGTTGTTCCCTCTCTACACATCCTCATGCATGAGCATTTAGAGTGATACACTGTCATCGGAGTTCAGGACATTTTTTCTTTGAGACCTTTGTTCACCTTTTCAATAAAGAGCCATACAAAAAGGCTACATATTTTTAGCTGGAGTTATTTTCATTTTAGATTAAAAGATAACAGAGGAACAAAAACAGTGACACCATTAGAGCGTACAGAGAGTGCATTTAGTCTGTGTTTGCCCTGAAAATCATGTGAATAGAAAAGAGAATAAAGAGAAAATTGACTGTGCCATTGTGGCACACCTTATATACTACAAAAATGCCATCAAATTAAGGTTAAGTGGTAGAAAAGTTCATAGACTCAAGTATACACATCAGATCCACAGAGACTCTAAGCAGATTTGTGCTTCATTAAAACCTGCACAAGGTAATGGAGTTGATTAGCTATTATAAATATTTACCTTTTTTTTCATGTCTTTATTCCTTGTCCTCAACCCTGAGCTTGTTCCACAGGAATACTATTTGTGAGACTTGTTCAGGGAGGTCAAAAATAAAATAAGATAAAGAAGGATTTAGAGCTGTCTTTAGAAATGCAAAAGGAACCATGTAGATTTCATCTTGGCCAGAGTCATGAACCTGCTGGCACCATAGGCTCAAATTCAGGTCAGCAGCATGGCATTCACACTGAACTACATGCACATTTTTAACTGCCAGTTAATTATGTAGAACAGACAAGGCAAAATGTGTAGGAAAGAAATTTAGACTCTTCTGCTTTGCAGAACAAATGTCTGTCTAAAGTTAAAGGACCGTGTTTCAGTCTCTGCTATTTTAAACTAGCTCACTCAGGTGTTGCTAGGAAATTTGCTGTATGTGGAGCTCAGAGTGACAAGACCCATCTATGAAGCCGAATTATAGTTTAAGTATTTATCCCAAGCTGAGCTTTCTCAGGTGAAACTTGCTGTTGTGACTGCAAGGTAGACATACTCTTCTTCACTAAGACATGCAGTATGTTACATTACATATCTATACCATTGTAAAGAGAGAAATCCTCACTGTATCTGACTCATTCCTAGAGCTCAGAGGTCACAGACTTTTTTAGGATTTCTGTGATCTAGATGTCCACTGTGGAACAGGTATTACTGAATTCAAACCCAGCTTTTTTTCTCTCTACTATGTAAAAAACCTCTTTTGCATCCACATCACTTTTCTTTAGTTCTTTTTAGAGAATTGAAATGGGTCTAGAATAATAATACTAAAATGTTAAAGAGCCTCATGTGATGGTTCTATGTAGCACCTCCTTGCACAAAACCTCCTTTTCTTGTCAGAGAAGTAGAAACTGAGCTGTCACTTTTAAATTTCATATTCAAAGTTTGTAACTTAAGACCCAGTCCACATCATTCAAGTCTCCAGGTTTTCAGAGGGAGTAGAAGGCCCTCAGCAATTTCAAGAGCAGACCTGATATTGCCTACTGTCTCAGAGTTTGGACATGTTTTCATTTATTGTCTTTCTCTGGCCATCAAGAAGGGGCCCAGTAATTCTTAAAATACCTTCCCCATCTTCTTGTGCTCCATTAGCTTCTGTCAGGATGTAAAGTGCTGAATTTTTTTTAAAAAAAATAAACCTATAGACATAGCAAATAAAGATGTAGTTTGCCTCTCTCTGAGAAAAATGTCACCTGATGACAAATGTTACTGATAGATCACATGTTGCTTAGGAAGTATAAGACGGCTGTACCACCCAGTGTTTTTTTCAATGAGCACTAACACTGTGCATTTAAACTGAGAAGTATAATTTGAGTGTCCTTCCTTGGCAGAAAGTCATTCCCCTCTCAGCATGCCACCCTGGCAGCCTTTGCAGCAGTGTACATTTCGGTGAGTAACCAACTCTGTTCAGTTTCATTTATACAAGACAAAAGTCAAAAAATAATTTGCTGTATATTGTAACATTATGTGTTGCCTGGATATCATGGATGGATGGATGGATGGATGGATGGATGTTTTTATCCTACCAATTTGAAAGCAAAATAAAATTACTAATAAAGCTGGTTTTATTTCAGCTGTTAAAGAATAAGGAAAATATTCAACTGCTTCATATCCTTTGTTAAGAAGCAAAAGAAAGTATTATGTTAAAGTATATTTGATGCCACACATTATCCTCATATAAAATGTTTATCTGTCTTACAGAGTGATATTTTAACTTACCAGTCAAATTAACTGTTATGTATGCTGCCTTTTCTTTGTTGCTGTCTTCACTTGATTTGCTGCTTTCAAATTTGAGGCATTAAGGGCCATGCATTGATGTGATGTAGTTTGGTTTCACCTCCAGAGATTTGCAGCATGGATGAAATGGCACAATCACTCCAAGAGGCCTTCAAGGTGTTACTGCAAAGCAAGTGAATAAAACCCATCAGTCACTAGCAGAGAACTGTGGGACATGCTGCAGCAATAACAGCTGATTTTGCACTTCCAAGCAGTAATATTTCTTCAGTATGGCCTGCAATGTTTGTACTATAGACAACTTACTTGAAGTTTAAAAAGTAATTCCATCACTCGTGCTGTAAAAATCAGAGGAGAACAACAGTAACAACCAGTTAATGGCATTAGATAATTGTATTGTGCGTGTACTGAGAGCTTGCCAGTATTTATTCTGCCTAGAAAAAGGCCAGAATTTGGAATAACACTAATGAACCACCTCCACTTAATTTTTGTGACCTCCCTGATATTATGGCCCTCAGTTGAGAAATGGCTCTCTAAAGCATCTGGTGGTAGCTTTTGTTGGAAGAGGTTATTGCCTTCATCTGGCATGACATCTGGCTGCTGCATTTCACAAGCGGTGGCTCCTTAGTCACATTTATAGAACATTTAGGTGCTAATTTGGAACAGTATTGAGGCATAAAATACTTATCCTAATTGATGTCAATAAGCAACACTGCCTATGTTTTTGGAAATCCATTCCTTGTGATTTCAGATCTTTCTGCAGTAAGTGAGCAAATTTTAATAGGGCTGTAAAGTAAAATTAAATAGATTACTTGTAATATTACTGTGTACTAGTGGTCTATATATAAAAGAAACACTGAATGTGAGAAATTAAAATCCTCTTAGGTATATTTAAGTTTCTTCAATTGCTTCTTTATTTCTTTCTTTTTCAAGATGTACTTCAATTCTACATTAACAGACTCCTCAAAACTTCTTAAACCACTCTTGGTCTTTGCCTTTATCATCTGTGGAATTATATGCGGTCTGACTCGTATCACCCAGTATAAGAATCACCCAGTTGATGTTTACTGTGGCTTTCTCATAGGAGGAGGAATTGCTCTCTATTTGGTAAATACAATAGTCATGGTTAAGTTTTAGCAAATTAAACTTAAAAGGCTGGAATAAGAGTACTGGTTGTTTTTATGAAAACTTTTCATCATGCTCACATGCCATAGGTTTAAATAAAGTCAGTATGTGTTGAAGATGATGAATTAGAGATAATGACTTTAAAAGCAAAGAGGAAAAAGCAAACAAGTACTTCAATGTGAAGTTCCATAACAGTGCATAAAGTGGAATATAATCATCTGGCATTGTATACAGAAACAATTCTAACTTTATGTGCTTTATTAAACACTTAATATACTCATCTCTTCTAATCCACACTTAGAAGCATAGCACAAGAAAAATATTTGATTAATTGGTATTTGTTGCTGACCTGAGTTGATAATGACAGTGTTCACTTTATGATCTCAAAAAGTTATTGAAGTAGTATGAGCAACTCAGCTGAGTGAATTGCTGAACCTTCAAAAAATTTAAGGCAATATTACACACTTGAGATTCTTTGAAGTCCTTAGGGAAGCCATGAAGGGGAAAAAGGGTGGTCAAATCAGGTTATTCCTATGCTTTTGCTTTCTACTTTGTCAGAAGAGATGGAGCACCTTGGAAGGGTCCTGTAAGGAAGCATGTAGGTCAGGCCTGGTTGTACCTGTCAGGAGGAAGCTCATCAAGCACTTGCTTTTGCTCACTGCTCTCAGTATGTCTCCAGCAGGAATTCTCTGCCCTGGCTGTTCAGAGAGCAGCACAGGTGCCTGGGAGCAATCAGAGCTTCTGCTGACAATCAAGCTTCTGCTTGAGTGCGGGCAGGTGAACAGAAGAGTCTTAACAGCCAGTGGCATGATTTTACCCCCAAGAAGTCTATGATGAATTTTAGTATAATACTAAAATTAGTTAATTTCCTGACCCCATTTTTCTGTGATAACATAACCTAAGGTATCTGCAGATGGTCTGCAGAGGCGACCAGGGAAAAATGGCTTTCACAGTGGCAGAAGAAACAGCAGACAGGGTAATAACAGAAACCCCATGAGCTACTAAAGTTAGCTTCTATGATTGCACTGCGAGCAGAAAGGCACTCTGTTGAGAATATTATTTCAAATTATTCCCTGTTGTAGATTTACCTAAATGGAGGTGTTGTTCCCATGTCTGAAATACCCAAAAAAGTGTGCTTTGTTACGTCTTCATACACTGTTGTGTGACATCATGCAGCAGAGAGTACGGTGTCCTGGATAGCCAGTCCTCAGTAAATCTGCCCTCAATACTACACACCAGCAGGAGGATGGGGAGGGGTGTGAAACTACAAATAATTCTGAAAGGAGTGTAAAGAACAAGTAACTCAAGTGATCAAGTCAGATATTTGACCCTCTCACAGAATGCCCTCAGTGGAGTCTCTTTTAAATGACAGCATTTTACAGCAAGTCTACTAATTAGGAAAATGTTTTATAACTAAATCTTATTAAAGCTCTGCACAGTTTGGAAAGCAATTGATTTAAAGTTGATAAATTTTTCTATGATGTAGATATTGTATTAAATGGTTATTGTGCAGCAGAAAGGGCATAATCTGCTAACAGCTGAGAACAACTCTAGCTGTAACAAGGTTTGGTAAATCAGAGTAGACAGTAGTATAGTTGTAAAATAGTTTTGCCTAAGAGACTACAAACATCTATTTTGCCATTTATCTAAGACATTATTTCTGTAGCTGTATCTGTTCCTTGGTAAAAAGAAGAAAGCTCATGACTGTTTATTGCCATGAATAGTATGCTTTAGTTATCCTAGTGAGACTACTTCCTACATACGTAGAGGTACCAGACTGAGGACAGAACTGGGACTGAGGCTATACTAGTGAGGAAGGGAAATTAAGCACATCCATCAGTTTAGCTGAAGTAATTATGTCACTGAATTCTATTTAAAAGCAAAATAATGCAATGAAAGTACCTTAAAATGTGTCCTTTACAACTTTCTTAACTGAGTGTTGATGCTTCTGTCCAAATATCAGGGCCTGTATGCTGTGGGGAACTTCTTACCAAGTGACGAGAATGCGTTCCACCAAAATTTTCACAGAGAACCTCTAAGGTCATTGACAGACCTCAGTCAAGATGCCAGCAGAATCCTGCCAGGTAAAAACGGCGGCAGCAGCGATGGCATTGTCTCTCACCGTACAGAAGGTATCCTGAATAGAAACCACAGAGATTCAGGCTCTCTGACCAATCTCAAGAGAGCAAATGCTGATGTAGAAATAATAACACCACGAAGCCCAATGGGAAAGGAGAACATGGTCACTTTCAGCAACACTTTGCCAAGAGTCAACACACCATCCTTGGAAGATCCAGCAAGACGAAATGCAACAATACACGCATCAATGGATTCTGCCCGTTCCAAACAGCTGCTGTCCCAGTGGAAGAACAAGAATGAAAGTCGAAAGTTGTCACTGCAGGTAATAGAGACTGAATCTGGCCAGTCACCACCAAGGGCTATCGAAATGAGGTCAAGCTCAGAGCCCTCCAGAGTGGGTGTAAATGGTGATCATCATGGCCCAACTACCCAATACCTGAAAATCCAACCTGGCAGTGTACCAGGTTGTAACAACTCAGGTCTTACTGGTGGGCCAAGGGTCTCTATTCAGTCCCGTCCTGGCTCATCTCAGCTAGTACACATTCCTGAAGAGACTCAGGAGAACGTGAACACATCACCTAAAACTAGTTCAGCTAGAGCTAAATGGCTGAAAGCTGCTGAGAAGAGTGTTGCATGCAGGAGTAATAGCCAGCCAAGAATCATGCAAGTAATAGCCATGTCTAAGCAGCAAGGGGTTCTTCAGGGCAGTCCAAAGAGTTCAGAGGGAAGCACAGTGACCTGTACAGGAGCCATCAGATATAAAACCTTGACAGACCATGAGCCAAGCAGCATTGTTAGAGTTGAGGCCCATCCAGAAAATAACAGACCTGTAATTCAGATGCCATCAGAAGGTGAAGGAAGTGGGTCATGGAAATGGAAAGGTCCTGAAAAAGTCACTCTTCGTCAAACGTACGAGCTAAATGATCTTAACAGAGACTCTGAGAGCTGTGACTCCTTAAAAGACAGTTATGGGTCAGGTGACAGGAAAAGAAGCAACATAGACAACACAGAGCATCACCATCACGGAATCACTACGATAAGAGTCACACCAGTGGAAGGAAGTGAGATTGGCTCAGAGACTCTGTCCATTTCTTCTAGCCGGGACTCAACACTTCGAAGAAAAGGTAACATCATTTTAATCCCTGAGAGAGGGAGCAGTCCAGAGAACACCAGAAACATCTTCTATAAAGGCACATCCCCCACACGAGCATACAAGGATTGAGAGGAGACATATCAACTGGTCCATACCACCACAAAGTAAACACATCTTGACACAGGTTCTGCTCCCTTTGTTTTGAGCTGATATTTACCTTTATGTGCCAAATTATTGACCAGCAGCCCTGCATTGCTGATGTGCAATGTGCATGAGCCTGTGAACAGCATGTGGTGGGGGGAAAAGCACAATGCCAGAACTAATGTGAAGCATTTTCATGCAACTTGTTTCTTCAGATTCAAAACATATATCTGAGGGTGATGATGTCAATTAAAAGAATGGTCTTGAACACAGACACTGTATTTCCTGAATGTGCCAACCTTTTATTTTATATTTGTGTCCAAAATTTACTGACTTTTTCACAGCAAAGGTTGTATCAGTGGTATATATTCATCTTGGCAGAATTTGCACCAAATCTTTAATACAGGATGGTGCTGATGATAACTTTACATGTTTTAAAAAATTGCATAATTATTAGATTCTGCAAACATGACATATTGATGTGCAGTTACTTTACAAGTAATATTGCTAATACTATGATGATGCTGGCTGCATTCATTTAGCGTAGGAAATATTTACAGCTTTGTTATAGTGGATCTGTCACATTCAAAGATTGCAAAGGTTTTGTGTAGTTCTTTAAGATGTCTACTGCAACAAAAAATGTGTGGGTGACATTCCATTAGAATGGAATGACTATCTATTTTGAATAGTTTTGCTGCTACTGCTCAACTTTTGTTTAAGAACAGGTGCTACTAATGAAGAGGCTGCTTCTTAGTGGGCTAACTTGTAGAATGTTTTAAATTACGTTTTTTAAGGGGTCTTATCAAGTACTACAAGTCATTCAGATTTTACATTTTTAAACTTCTTATTCTGTCCTTCAGCAACCCTTCCATTTTTCTATTAGTTTTTCAACAAATAATAGGCAGGACACCAATAATTGCAAGATGTGCAAATGTGAAATGTGAGCCATGAATAAATAAAAATAGATGGCAACTTTCCTGACCAGCTTCCAAGGAGACAGGAATTAATATCATAGCTCACACTTAGAAGCAGTCATTCACCTCACTTGCTTAGTATGCCACAAGAACAATCACAAGTTTCACCCCAATCACCATCACGTAGGGGATTTGTGCTTCGCTTTAAAGAATGGAATGCCTTGGTATTGCAGAATCACTGAACAAGTGTTGCATTGTGCCACTACTACAGTTCACCTCCCTTGAGACACCCTCCAGAGCCTTCTTAAGCATGATATTTTTCCCACCACTGCCACTTAAGAATATAGAAGGTCTCTGCAACTGAGAGAACATGAATTATTTTAACAAACTGAGCTTTGGATATAATGAAAAAACTTGCTTGCTAAAAATCTCCATTGCCAAAAAAATATTGAAAGGATAAGCTCTGAAAGGAATAAACATGGCATGTCCTAGAATGGGCCTGCTAGAAGAAATGTTTCATTTCATTTGGGTCTGACTTAAACCCTGAAGGAAGCCAGGGGCAGTGCTCACACACTGCAGCTCTTCATTCTCTCCTATTTCTATCTGAAAGAGAACTACTCTCAGCTCCCCTGCCAGCTCCCCTGCTAGGAGGGGAAGGGAATGCCTTAGCAGTCCTCTCACTGAATAAGAAGTAGCAGATCAGGTCTGTTCTCTGGCTTCTTGAGAGAGGTTTTGGTCTAAATCCTCTTCTCATTTAGGGTATCAGAGAACCAGATACATTCTCTATACTTAAAACCTGTCTACAAACCCTACCCCACAGAACTCTAAGGAAAAGCCCACCCTACCCCAGCCAACTCGGAGGTAGAAGGAAGAATCATCCTGTTCAAGGAGATAAACAGCACAACACAAACAGAGACCAAAAAAAAACCAAACAAAAAACAACCAAACCAACCAAACATCAAAACAAAAACCCAAAAAAAGACCTCCAAACCAAAACAAAATCCCAAACCCAGCCCCAAACCTAAGTAATTTCACAAGTATGAGGATGGTGTTTGCGAGTCAATGGAAAGCTTTATATGTACTTCCCAGTTTTACAGGTGCTCCAGGCTTAGCTGAATGCTTCCTGTCAAGCCAACTGTGCCAAGCAATGCTTCCCTCACCTGCCCATCACCCAGTGCTGTGGAAGAGTGTCAGTCCTTAAGGAAATGACCACACTCTTTCTGCTATTGATTGACAAAATTTCCCCATCATACTTAGGATGATTGGGAGAAAGTATTCTGCAGGTTGCATGTAAGAAGCTACCCAGTAGGGTTGCAGCATATTGTGTATGTTAAAGGCATTGTATGTTGAAGACACACTTTAAGGCACATCAGCTGGGAAAAATAATTATAGATACCAGGAGAAAAAGAAAAAAAAAGTATTTTTAGAAATAAGTTCTCAGATGCTAGTATTTACGAGTCAGGATTTGTTTTTTCTTTTAAAAAGGATGTCTCTTTAGTCCTTGGTATTTAATATGAAATTTTGTACAAGATTCCTAGGAATTACAAACACTTGGACTGTCATGAACAAAACCCTTTGGATTTAGTTTAGTCTAGGTAAAGGATAAAGCAGGTAGGATTAGCTTTAAAGGAATGGGTAAGACACAAACACTGTTGGCCTATCAGTGCAGGGAAATAAGATGCAATCATTTGTTAGTTTGTAAGTGCAGGGGAAAAGAACATAAGTAGATGAACCTGGAAATAAAGGAAAATTGAAATGGAGAATAATGGCAATAAAGCAAAGATTAGAAAATGTTCCCTCTGGCAATTTAGCTGTTTTGGAAACAGCAGGATTCCTGGTGGGAGTGTTTGTTCTTTATTCCTTGGTTTTAGTCAGATATATATTGGCATATATGTTGCTTTTATTACTCTAAAACTTGCTGCACTATTTCAAGTGCAGCGTGATATTTTTCCTAAAGTTTCCTATTTCTTAAGAAAAGATTTTAAAGCTCTTGTGTAATCATTGAAATTATGTTCTATACATAAATATTGATATATTCTTTTTTACTCAAAGTGCCAAAGGCTACTGTTTTTAATAATGGCTTATCAAATTATATTACGTTAGAAAGCAGAAATGTAATAATATATACATTGGAACTCAGACCTCTGCATGTATATTTGATAAGGAGCCTTTTGTAAAATTACTCTTTGTTTACATTCCACTGGTACCTTAATTTAAAATTAATCAAATAAATTGACAGGTGACATCTTCTTAGTGTTCTGATTTTCTTACTTGCTAACAGGCACGAATTTCTTTGTTAGGCTGTGCTTTACTGAGAAAAGAAAATACTTAAAAATAAAATATGTTTTTAAATGAGAATTCTATATATAAAGTATTGTGTTTAATAAAATGTTATGCCATGTTTTCAAATGGAAAATAATTTGTAAATTGCTATAAATGTATTTTGTTAAATAAGTACAGATCAATGCTACTGTGTGAGTTTATTGTGCTAACATCATGAAATAAAGATAAAATTCCTCATTCGTGTTTGTTTATATCTGTGGTGAAGCAAAGTCTCATCCCCCCCCCCAGATTATTATTCAATATTAGCTATCTTATGATGTGTAAAAGTGGTCATCAGTGAGAAACCTCGAGACCTTGCACAGTGGTAAGAATTTATAAAGAACAGTGTCCAAACAAACTTTAACCACAAAACATTTTACAAAAAACCCCAAGTGAATTGGGAACTTTAAGTCATCTGGAGACGTGCCTGCTCAATCATTCCACAGCACCAGCTGCATTGCTAAGCCCCTAATGCCCCTAAACCACCTTGCTAGTGTTGGGTAGAGCTGCCAGACATGGTGAGGTCAGCCTTGGATTTGTGAATGAGAACAGGACAAATGTCAGAGGCAAACAGAGAGCAGGCTCTCCCCAGGGGAAGAAGTTAGGATGCAGGAGTCAACTGGTGCTGTACACCCTTTGCTGGCAACAGTGAAAAACCTTATGTGTAACAGCACACTTTAAAAAGCAGTCTTACCTAGAAGGCACACAAGGTAGTGTGGTAAGCAAACAGCAAAAACTGTCTCCAAGCCTGTCTTGAAACACCCTGAAAGCAACAGCAGGACCAAAGTGCCTGGGGTGGAAGACACAGCAGTAACTGAGAATTGCAAATGGCCTAGGATGGACCACAGGGAGTAGCAGAGTCCCTGCAATACATGGCAGTGCAGCAAGCTGACTCTGAGAAGCTTTCCCAAGTGTGCCTGGGCCTTTGTGCAGGCTGCCCCTTTGTACTTGTGTGTCCTTGGAGCAGATAACATGCTGTGGCTGGGGGCACTGGGCAGCTGCTGTCACTGCAGACTCCAGTCGGGCAGCACAGTGCTGTGTGGTACAACATCACACGTGTGCCGTGCTCCATGCCAAGGCACGCAGGCTGCACTGACATCGCCTCAAGCTGTGGTGCAAATCTGGGTCACTTGGCAATCCCTGTCCCATGACCTTCATGAGAAGTTAAGATGGGAGCCCTCAGGCAAAAGAGAATCAAAAACCAGTATGTTGTCTCTCAAAGAAAGGGAAGTGTCTGTACAGTTGTGATACTGTTCTCTCTGTGGTGACAGAAGGCACTTTCTTCTTGAGGATGTCCTCCCTCACGGTGTGAGCAGGCAGTTTCAGGAGAGGCCTCTCCTTTGGCCAGCAGCAGATGGACTGTGGCAATCCATGATATGCCTGGAGTGAGGCTGTGTGAAGCATAAGGGTTGTGGCCCAAGGTTATGGTGTCCCATCATCTGGGACACATGTTGGTAGCCTGGGAAAGCTACAGACAGTGATGGCTGGTATGGCTGAGAGAGACCCTGTGAAGGACGCAAGAGAGAAAAACAGACTAGGGTAGGACTGCTGAAAGCTGACATGTAATGCAAATCTGATGAGCTCTCCCTTGGGGATGGCCCTTTCCATGGATCACAAAGGGGCCAAAACAATTAGTTCGAACATTTTAAAGGGCACATTATAAACATCTGAATTTAGGATAAAAAAAAAGTCCCCCTCTGAAGGGTATCTTTGATGTAGACATTATATTACAGAACTTCATCTAAGATGAGAAAGCACCTCTACTGACAAACCTTGTCACATTCTCTTAGACCATTCTGGCTACAGCAAAAGTGTCACTAATTTAAGAGAGTTCACTGTGATCCAGATTGATGACTAATGTGATCACACAAGGTATGATTGATTAAACTGAAACTTAAATCTACTGTGTACTGGATTTTATAAGAGCTTCAGAG